ATATATATATATATATATATATATATATATATATCCAAATTATTGAAAATTTGTAAATCTATAGATTTTATAAAGATTTTAATTGAAAATTAAATCGTGATATTTAATATTAAATATCAAGATTTATTTTAATTACATTCCCTGAACGAGGGAATATAATTTTTTCCACTTTTTAAAGAATTATAGCTCATCATAAATCTGCAACAATTTTGATAATGTAAATGTAATTCGCGAAATGTGAAGTCTCGTGTGACATATCGCGATATCCAAAGTACAATTTGAAATGTTCAAATGTTCAACACCAACAGTAGCGGTACGCTACGTGACGAGTGACGAGTAATAAACGATGTAATAAACTACCGTCGAACATGTTAGCGGAGAATAGCGTGACCAAAAATCGCGATAAAACTTTGGTGCTACTTCACCATTGTACATGGTGAACAGCATGTAACGCATGCAATTGCACAGAATCTATCCAGACAAGAAAGATGACCTATCAAAAATTCGTTTCATTTCCTGCAATTTATTCGTTTTATTTCCTGCACTTTGTTCGAATTAGATAAACGATATTGCTAAAATGTAATTAAAGTAGATATCAGTTTCTCACGTCGGTTAATATTTAACAATACACTGTTGGAAAAAATGTGTTGAATTTAACATAAAATGATAAAATAATATGTCGAGACGCGTCAAGATTTGAGACTGTGCCGAAATCACACAAAGAATAATGATAAGTCATCCCCATTCCTGTTATAGAGTAAAACATTTTTTTTATGTAAAAATTATGTAAATTTTAATATATTGAATAAATACGTACAAATTGTGTTATTTTAACACATTTCTTAAATCATTTTAATAATTTTACATTTTATATTTGTTAAGGTCAGTTAACATAATAGACATGTGTTAAATTTATATATAAATATGTAGATATTATGTATTATTATGTATTATTAACATAAAAAATTTTAACAAGGACCGATTTTACAAATACAAATATAAATACAAACTATTTTTTACTGTGTAATATACACTATTCATTATCTTTTAATTATTTCAGAAACAATAACAAACCTTTTTATCTATAAACCTATAATAAAATTGTCTTATTTATTAATTGTAATACTTAATAATTATATGCATCA